AGATCGAAGTGTCACTCTTCGATTATATCAATTAATCAAACAAGATTTCATCAATTCATAATCAATTCAACCCACACAAGAGCGAACAATTCAAGCCCGAGAGATATGAATTAAACAAGAATAATCATCCCCTATCACTAGCAATCAGAATTAACGAATTCAACACACATAATCATTACTCTCAAAATAACCATTATTCATGAATTAATAAAGAGAGAAGAAACTTACAATAAATCCAAATTCTAGTTGTTGAATCCAAAATACAAGCTTAATTCCTAGATACTAAGAAGTAGACGAAGAAAAATGGAAAGGAATGATGAAAAGAAGAAGAAAAATGAAGAAGAAGAGAGGAAGAGAAAAGGAGTTTCGTGTATTTTATGGGCTAGGGTTCATCTCCCAGAAGGGGAGAGAATCATCCCCCGAACAAGTTCTGGTCTTATAATTGCAGAAATCGCGAGCTCCGCGGCCGCGACTTTCCCGGAGGTCGCGGCGACTAATAACTCCGCGGCCACGGCGATGACATGCTCCGCGGCCACGACCAACCTCCGCGGCTGTGACTATTTTCGCGCTGGACCTGACATCTGGGACCCAGAATTACTCGTCGCGGCCGCGGCGAAGAAAGCTCCGCGGACGCGACTAACCTCCACGGTGCGAGACCTGACAGCTTGGACTTCTTTGGGCTCATTTGCGCTCGTTCGGACGCGGAATTCGATTTTGTTTTCTCCTGTGTGTTGCCAACGAACTTTTCTATTTACTTATGCTTGCCCGGCTGACTTTTGCTCAAATTCCCGTCTTCTCGAGACTTCTGACCTACACACCAAAAAACAAAGAAAACCGGAAAAATACACGAAAAACACAAGAAAAGACCAACTGAAGGAAATTACACAACAAAACCCAAACACACTAAAAGCGAAAGAAAAGACCTAAAACGGGGGAAAAAGAACGACAAAACAAGCACGAAAAATGCAACAAAAATGGGACAAACATAGCAGCACATAGCATGGCAGCTCAAAGGAACAAGGAGGCTTGGGTGAGGTGTTGGAAACTAAAACTTCAGGGCAAATGAAAACATTTCATATGGAAATGTTTCTTCGGGGTGCTACATGTATTGAGTAATGTTGCAAAAAAAGGGTGGAGGTGGATGTCAGTTGCAGAGGTTGTGGGGAAGAAGTGGAGACAATTGGGCACATCATATTTAAGTGTAGTAGAGCACATATGGTGTGAAAATTACCTATTTTTTAGTGGGAAGAGTTATGTGCACGAAATTGAGTGTTCAAAGATTGGTGGTGGTGGATTAGCTCCTTGAAACATTGTGACTTTCCAGAAAAGAGAATCCACCTTTCCACATATAATACTGTGGTGGCTATGGAAAGCCAGAAATTTGTGACTTTTTTAAGGGCTATGGAACCGTAGTCCATTATAGTCAAAGCAGTTGTGAATGACTGGATGGACTTCAGGCCCACTACAACAAAAACTGCATTTATTTTTTTATTTGGTGACATTTATTAGTGTCACAAATACATTTACCTACACTTGCAAAAGTGTCACGAGTTGCGTTGCTAAATTTGATGTCACGAATTTATTTGTGACGCAACCTAGATGCGTAGGTAATCTTTAATACGCGACACTTTTTCAAAAGTGCGTCTTTCGTACATAATTTGGTGACACAATATATTAATTAAGTAGTTTTTAATGGATGACCTCTATTGAGTGCGCCATTATTATTACGAGTTCTGACATAAGTTTTTAGCGTCGTAAATCCCAATGCATAACGCTTATTTTATAGCGTCATTAATACGGATTATTGTGACCATAAATTGTATTGTTGTCAATTTTCGATACATTACATTTTTTTAAGTATGTCACTATAATTTTTGGTGACATAAAATATAGGTGTTAAAAATTATTAATCTACGACACATTTTTAATGCGTCATTATACTAAGTTGGTGACAGTTCTAATGAATAACGTCGTTGAGATAAGAAATTTTAGTGCTGTCAGAATTATGACGCCTATAAAAATAGTCGTCAAATTAGTTACACATATAATAGTTTCCATCTACATACTAGAGATTCAATAGTGAACAAAAGTTATTATAATAAAGCTAAAAAAATGATAATATCCACAATAAATATAGAAAATAAATAAAATGCAGAAATTCCAATAGCATAATAAAAAGAAACCACGTCATTTTCTAATAAAAGAATTTCAACTAATTCAGAAAAATGTAGAATAAACAAGGTGGGTGACGATATTTGTGCCCGTCATACGCTTCTTATTAAGTGCAAATCCATTTTAAAATAAAAGAACAAAATTTGATATCAATTTATATTCATCAAAAGTGACCCGAGTAGAAAAAAATTATATATGAACACGAGACACAAGTTCATATAAAACATTTAAATATTTTAATTACTTACCAATATAAGTTTCAAGAGGAATCATGTTTTTCCAGCACTTTCCGAGAAGTCGGTCATATTCGATAGAAAAAACGAGACACCAAAAAATATACTAATTATTTAACTTTACCGCCGTGAAGATAGGGTAAATTGCGCCAAACCCCCCTGTATTATACGAAATCTGCGCGTTATCCCCTTGTATTTTAAAAATTGCGTCATACCCCCTTGTATTATACTTTTGATTGCGCGTTATCCCCTAAACCGTCTAACTTGACGGAAGTGCACTTCACGCGCGTGTGGTGCGACTTTTTCTCCATTTTTTGGCCATAAACTCACAGAAATTACTATTTTGCCACTAATACCTGAATTATATATATACATTATTATATATATATATATATATTAATATTATATA